TCACCGTTTCACGTACGTATGACAATATCAAATACGAAATTCTCCGAAATAATATGGGTCTCTCTCCATGGTCCGTTGTTCGGAAGGATTTGAATAATTTGAACGATTCAAATTTTCATAACAGCCCTAATTTTGATACGTACCTTCCCTTGGCCTATAAAATAGACGAATTTTATTTTCGGATGACACGTTGTCATAGGTCGTCTGATAGATTCATTATACTTGCTGATGGTTCCCAGTTGAAATGGTGATCCGTGTACCTACTATACGTACATAAGTACATTGATGTTTGATAATTTATACGAAAATTGCGCCATGCCCTTAGAATGATGACAGGGTTACGTTGTCATAGGTCAGCTGACGATTGATTATACTTGCTAATCACTCTCCCTTCCTCTTTTTCTTTTCTTTTATTCCGTTTCGTCACGTAGTTCTAAACGACCATGTGACGGATCTTCCGATATAGTTATCTCAGCTAGACGTGACCTCCATCGAGCTTTTCGTTTCGAAGGGAATCGAACCATAAAATTTCGTTGCACAAGATCCAAGCGAAAGGGAACAACTTTGATCGTGCTACCTGGAGCTGGAATAGCTGCCTTGCTGATGGAATTACTTAATTTTTCGTTGCAAAATCAGAAAGCCGAGGTAATCGATACTTTACAGACTGGCTTGTTCACGTGTCGCTGTAATCTATGAGAAAATTAAAAGAATAAAAATACAGTGTTCCTGTGAAATGGAATAGAGAATTACCGATATTGGATGAAGAAAAATTGACGAAATCTATCGTCATATATTTTTACATCTCTCAAAATGTTACCAAAGCCCTCAATTAGTCGTCCCTTGAATGATAACATAATTAAGAATTAATTAGAATATTATTCATTAACCCAACGAATAGGGGGAATAATGTATAGGCACGTTTCGATGATCAGCTGACAAAGAGATTACACTTTAAAATGGCCGGCTAGCTCATCCGAAAGATCGATCGGTGGCTCTTTAAATCGACGAATTTCCAGCCGTTCACGGTCAATCGCGGATTCAAAGAGTATTCAAATACGATTCCGCCTTCTCCACCCTAACCAGGGGATCCTTAATTCTCAAGGAGAAGAAACTGGCCACCCACGGCTATTTTGATTTAAAAAAAAAAAATAAATAAAATCACATCAGACGGGACAGAGAGAAACGATGGAGAAGGCGACAAGATAGTGGAAGAAAAGGGAAGCCGTCAATTACATAATGCATCGAATGTTCGTCTCGATGTTCGCGTGTTGGTACACAAAATAGGGGGATCATGGTGCGAGCGATGAGCAAACCTCGAGGTCATGGTCACACGGTGTCTCGCGAACATGAAATTTAGTCGATCATAAAAACAAAATACCATCTGATGATTGTACAATTATTTTCCATTTTCACCATTAGATATGAAATTCTGATGCAATTCCGTGACATAAAAGTATCTCATTGTCAGAATTGCACTTGCGACACGTCAATTTGAAGCTTAAGTCTCGAACAAAATGAAGGTAATTTTTATTTTGTTACAAAATGCCTGTTGCTTTTTTGGAACCAAACGACCTCTAATTTAGCAATTGTTCATTCTAACAAAGAATCTTTGATATATTCATACATTTTCATTTTTATTAAACTTTCAGCTTCAAATCGATGCGCTATTTTCTCATACTTTTATGTCATCAAAATTTCATTTGAACGAATGGAAGAACGTTAGATGTGCCCGAAGTATCCTTCGAAGAAGTTGATTTTCGAAATCAAGGTTGCAAGATATCCATCGAAAAGTAAGCTTAACCATGGTTGAATATTTTTATCGAATCACCTTTTGAAATTCTAATCTCCCCTCTAGTCTTTTAATCCTCTTCGTTCTCACTTCGACCACTTCAATAATTCAACAGTATCCACAAATGTCAAATTATTTCTCCGTTATATATTCTAATAGTTTCACAAAAATCACGAGGATTAACCATGAAGAAACGTTCTTCGAAAGGGCTCGTTTTTCTTGCTTCGAAGAGTTCATTTTCCTTTCGTCCCTGGAGAAAATTAGGTACGTTACGCTAGAAATGATATACCGGAAAAACGTGATGGAAAGCTAGGCACGAACTCTGTTTAAAATCATGGAAACAGTTCCTCATAAAAGTTAACTAAATTCAATATTGTTTTCCAATCATCGAACCGCTTTTCCGCAAAATCCAAGTTCTTCCCATTTCCCGAAAACGCTTCGATTACAGTTTGACTAACAATCAGTTTTCCTAATGGAAACTACTCGAGCGCAATCTTATCGGTAGGCTCTGTTTGCAGAGCATCATGGATTCCATGAAACTTACAGCCGTCAAAGAGTTAAGGCAGGGACATTTTTTTTTTCAAACATCGCGAGTTTCTATTTGTCAAACGATAATGATACAATTCCCGTTTCAAGTGACGGATCGCGTTAGTTAGTAAAAAAAGAAGCGTTGTGCAATATCGATGCGCCAAAAACATTTGATATCACTCACGTTGCTATCGCTAGGAACGAATTAGTATCTTATTACGCGGCGTCAAGTACACGTGTAACTTCCTTGTAATCTTCTCGGCTTTCCGTGTCAGCACGCATCAAACGTTCCAGAAATATTATCTGTTATCGGTAATGGCACGCTGTCATTAACGATCATCGAGAAGATTTCGAAATTAGTCTAAAAACCACCCTGAGATGAATGTCGACCGTTAGAATTTCAGAATATTAAAACATTAGAATCTTTCATCATTTTAAAGAAATAGGGTAAGGTTGCTCAAGTCCTTTTGAATTTTGAATTTTGAAAAACAGCCAAAAGTAATATATACAAGAAAAGAAGTAGTCAACAAAAAGGTACCTACATTAAAAATTTAAAAAAAGAAAACCAATAAAACTGACACTGATTGGTTTTGTAATATTTGTGCAGAAGACCGGGAGGAAAATATGATTCGATGCTTGAAATGTAAAGTAGTTTCCTAAGTGGTACCGCTACAAGTTTTTAAATATTTAGTTTATTTTATATAAAATCATACAGAGTTTTGAATGTTATTATAATAAATAATATCAATGTTCACACAAGTTTTGAATAACACATATAATTCTTATTTATTTGATAAATCCTAACATTTATACGAGTTTTTTCTTAAGGGGTATTTGAGCAACTTTACCCTACGTAGTAAGAATAGGACGGAAGAATAACGAGGCTAGTTGTTTTACAGAAAATGTATCCGAATAGATGTCACTGGTTCGATTGCATAGAATCTAATACCGAGCATCTAATTTCCACATGGTTTGAGATAGCGACGAGAAACCGCGAAGAAAACAGCGCAGGAAGGCGCGTCTGTGAAAGAAAAGAAAGAGAAAAATAGAAGAAACACAAAAGGTAAGGATGCCTCGAATATGGAGCTGTGGTGCAATTTCCCGTTTCCGTCGACCCTGTGGCGAGCTGGCTACTTGCCACAGCAAGAACGAAATCTCGTATGCGGTAATACGGTCGTAATATATTTTAATTCCGGCCACCTGATATTCTGCTACGTCTTCGGATGAATAAAACAATGATCGAACGGAGCACACTACCGTCGAAAGAAAACGTGAGAGATTAATATTTGATTTTTTCCCTCCGTCCCGTATCGAATACGTACCCTGTTCCCTATTCGGTGAAACATTTATGGTAATTAGCTTTTTAATCGTCCAAATACATTGGCTATCGAGAGAATTAAACTGGCGAATAATAACTTGCAAATCACTTTCATCTGTCGTATACGGTAAACCAACAGATTTCGATCTTCCCAGTATAAGGGTTGAAACAGTCGCTTTCGATTAAGAAAATTAACACTCTTCGATTTTAATTAGACAAAGAGGAATTTTTTCATTTGATACCTTTCGAAATTAATATAATACTAATGCTTTTTCGAATTTGTTTAATCGTTGAACAACGGAGTTTGTTAAAATTCGGGCTCTCGCCATGATCCGCTGTCCTAGTATTAACCCTTTCACAGACACCTCTTTGACATAGATGCTTAGAAATCTAGAATACATCGATCATAACCATCTTGTCTATGACAAAGTTAATAATTTTCCTTTCAATTATTCGATGATAATAAATTTGAAGTACGGGTCACTGGTAACCCCCCACAGTGGCAGAACTGATTTAGTCGCTGAACCTCCATCGAAAATTGATAAAATTCCAATTGTTCTTTCTTTCTCTTTTCTTTCTATAGATTCGTAATCAGTGAAGAGTAGAAAACAGCTGATTGCAGATCGGAGGAGTTTGTTATTTTGTTTATAGGGTATCTTGTCTCGCATCTATTCTTCGGTTAGCTCGCTTTGCTTTCGTTGTTGTCTGGATGGCACTTGTTTTTCCACTCGGTTGCAGCGCGATGATGTTGGAGAATGAATGCTATCAACATAATTCAGCGGAAAAAAAATTTAGTAGCGATTCGCAAGCGTCGCGACGAATCGAGATCGATGGAAACGGGAAATCGGCTGCTCTGCTTGGCCATTCGTGTAAACGCAACACGCGAGAGCTAAGCCTTTCAACGAGTCCGACCTGCATCATCTTTTTTTTCCCTCAAGGCGATTCCCGGTCGTCTACTTGCCAAGACGCGTCTTTCTACGCAGCTACTAGTCCTTCGTATTCTTACTCTTCCCACCCCGATTATTGAAATGTTGCTTTTCCATTAACTTTCCATCCTTCTTTCGTTCCATCATCTGTCTGACTTGGTTCGCGAACCTCGCTCGTTGCGGACACCTCAACGTTAGATCAACCGATCTTGGCTTTTCATAGAATATTTTCGAATCGAAGCATTTTCCCACTTTTCGATCAAGAAAGATTCGTGCTCCGATTACATCAAAACTTAGTTATCAAAAATAAGTAGCATTTTTGTAGCCTGAAGCTGCAGAATTGATAGACCTGAAGTTGTCAAACGGTATCGATCAAACGAAATCAGAGAAGCATGTGTTGCTATGAAGAGTTTCCTGTGTTTCCAAGCTGCCATGCTGAAATTCATTCTCGGGAATTTGAAGTAAACCAGGCGAATTCAGAGAAAACTGTACCTTGATATTAAAAACATCATCAACGATGGAAGAAGAGGATGACTGTCAGTCCCCAATTGTCGACGAGAAACTTTCCATCGAAACGAAACTGGACGTTTCAGCAAGTACCGAGTTGGAGATGAAAAAATCGGTTAGAATCTGTTCTCTTAATTAACTTCGTATCATATCTTCATTAAGAAAAAGGGGTAAGTATTGAAGAGAAGGAAAGGAGGTTACGTTCCTTCGATTGAATCTCATTTCATTTTATCGTTTAAGAAACAAAAGAAATGAAAGAACCTATGAATTTTTTGTCAAACCTCGTTTTAGGGGAGCAGAAAATTTTTGGTTAAAAAATATCAAATCTTATACATTCGAAAATGCAAGTTAAAAGTTTAGGAAACCACTTGTTTAAAAAACACGATTATGTGAAAAAAGTGTATTTAGCATACTTTGACAGGTTAGTACGACGCCATATTGTTTCTACGCATTCTCTGATTAGTTCGTTGAAACGACTGTAACTTCCGGTTACCTTATTTAAAAACATATTGCTCCTTGATCGCTGCGATCAATGAATCCATAGGAGGTGTAATATCGCATCAACGTGACCAAATTTTGATCTAGCCTAACCTAACCAAACCGAGATATGTGAACCAATCAGAAGATGGGTAGAAGCAATATGGCGTCGTACTAACCTCTCAAATCGTATGTTTTAACACTAGATCTATCGACGTTTGATGCACTCTAATTTCTAAGTTGAAAATAATACAGAAAATTAAATAAATACGGGATGAAACAATTGAATATATATATCCATTCTTTATCTCGACAATAGCCAGCATACATTCCAGCAAAAATACCTCTATAGAATTTATAAATTAAAATAAGAAACTTGAAACAAGTTATTTTGACCCTTTTGGTAGTTCCAGTGTTAAACGAGTGGTTTCCTAAATTTTTAACTTGTATTTTCGAATGTTTCAGGTCGAAAACTATAAGATTCGATATTTTTTAATCAAAAATTTTTGGTCCCTTAAGATGAAGTACAGCCTTTTGATTTTTCAAAGGTACCAAAAGATTCATCAGTGGATCTTCAAGTTCTGACCAGCCGATCTATGGAACTCTTCAACCGAATGGATCTAGATAAAGAGAGAAACGAAGGTTCATCGTTGGATCAGCAAGCGCCGGCGACAGAATCCATACCGGAAGTGGACAACGAGGACAACTGGTTGTCGTATCTCGATTGCGACGCGATCTTCGACGTGACTTGTGAAAATCTGTCCTATTACAATTCGACCAAAGCGGAGAAAGGTAGCGACAGTGATCTCGACGACACGTTAACGTTCGACGATGCTGAAGACTGCGAGACCTTGGCTCGAGACGAAGGCTCGTCGAACGATTCGTGCTGCCAGCAAATCGTCGACGATTTCGAACGATTGCCGAACAGAAATTTCGTTGTTTCGTCAAAAATATCATCGATGGAGATCAAGATCGATCGTCCAGCCGCATCTGAGAATGCAGCTTTGACGGAGGATGAAATCACCGAGAGTGAAATGATAAAAGAAAGTAGCAACGATGGCGACAAAGAGAATTATAATGAAAATTTGCGAGATGAATCAAAGAATCTTGATGATGATAAGATTGAAAAAGAGGAGCAGCTATTGTCCGACACTTACGATTTCTCCAGCGACTCCGACGACGAACAGGAGAGGAAGTTGATTTATTCCTCCCCTACTGTGAACATTTCCGCTTACTTCAAGTTCAGAGATAATTTGAAGGATTCGAAACTAGAAGCAGCCTTGAATCGGCTCGATCCGAAAATGCTTCGCGATAAAGAACCACTGACACTGGAAGAAGTTGAAGAAACGTCAACAAAGGAGCGAACGGATGAGAGTGAAACGGAGAAGAGTTTGATAGAACCTGCGGAAGAAAAAGGACCAAAGTACGTGGAATCAAGGTCTCCGGAGGGATATCTGGAAGAGTTAGCTCGGATCACCGAGTCGAGTTGCCCGAAAACCGAGGAGCAGGTGCAGGAAAGATTGAAAAGGATCGCCGAAGGGAAAGCGGAAATAGAAAAGTGGAAGAACGATGCGTTGAAGGATCTATCGGTAGAATTCGAGGAGGTTGAGAAACTCCTCCTGGAACAGAAAGCTCTGAAGAAAAATCAGTCAACCGAGGAGTTCGACAGCGAATCCGAGGAATTTCTGAAAACCGACATCGAGATGCCTTTGACGAAAGATCAAATAGCTGAGAGTTTCAAATCGAAAACGGAGGAGGAGGACAAACGTCGTACGGAAATGTTGCAAGAATGTATACAAGTTATTCCGAGAGACGAAGACACGGAACAGTCCGTAGAAGAATCATTTGATGATGAAGTAAGAACGAAGAAGTCTGAAACTTTGAGTACGAACGATGACTCGAAAGCTGTTGAAACAATAGTCGGTGGAATCGTGCAGGACATTATTCTTGACACAGAGGATTCTTTATTTTGGCGGTTTGGCACGGACCAGGAAGAGAGGACGTATATCAAAGGGAAAGTGTACGAGTTCGACGAAAAGAAGCATGGCGCCAGGTAAAATAGCACCGACGATAGAAGGTTGATTTTTAAAAAAGGATTCACAGCATTGTCTGCAGGATGTGACGATGTAAAGTAAACGATATCCGGTTTCAGAATGACCGAGGATTTCCTGAAGAAGCATTGCAAGCTGACCAAGCTCTATCAGACACCTTATTTGAACGACGTGCTCTATCTACATTTCAAAGGTTAATACGATCAAAAATATAATAAACATTCGTGTGGAGAAAGAAAAAGAACGATCGATCGTACATTCGAGTAAAAATTTCAACCTGTCAAGTTTCGATTATTCTGATTTTGAAATTTTCCATCAGGAAAGTAGTACTGTGTTATTGATCCTTTTTTCTAGAAAAATAGAAAATATATATTTCAAATAATTCTGTTCGAAATAAAAAGTATTCCGGTTACAAAAAATCATTGTATTTTATTATTTAACCCTTGAAGAGTAGAGTAAAATTTAGGAACTAAAATTAGGGCTTTCTCCGTGGTCCGCCGTCCGAGGGTTGAAAAACACGTTACAGTGTATTTCTTAAATTTTTAGAAAAAGGACCAATCACAACTGTACGTGTTATCCTATATTACACATTAACATAAAAATAAATATTTACCTAAAATTCAAAAAGATCAAAGGTATCTTGTTTCAGGTTTCTCTTTCATCGAGAATCTAGAAAAGTACACGGGCCTGAAGTGTCTCTATTTGGAGAACAACGGTATCCGGGAGATCGCCAATCTGGAGAATCAAAGCGAATTAAAGAGTTTGTACCTTCACAACAACCTGATCAGCAAAATCGAGAATCTTCATTACCAGACGAAGCTGAACACACTGAATCTATCTCACAACACTATAAGGAGGATCGAGAATCTCGGTGAATCTTGTAGCGGTTGACGTTGGTATCCTTGATGACCTTGACCTTGACGTGCCTCCGCTTTCAGATAGCCTCAAGTTCCTGAATACTCTAAACCTGTCGCACAACTACATACAAGACACCGCTGACATTGAGCATCTCCGATTGCTCGACAGTCTCTCGGTACTGGATATTTCTCACAACAGGATAAAGAGCAATCAAGTTGTTAATGTGAGTCCGTTATGTTTCCTTAATCGTATGCTTCGGGCGGTTGCTTCAAGTACTCCGGACGCGCTTCGAGTGTGATGTAATTTTCGTCTTTCCACGAAAGTGGAAGCACGTTCAGTAACGACGCGTTCTTTACGATTTCTTCTTTACTTTTTTCTTCGGATGTTCCACCTCGAGTCTGAGGGAAGCGTGTGACACCTAAAAATTGTTCAAATCTATTAGTTAAAATATAAATTTTTTAAATATAATTACCTGAAAGTAAATCGGGAAATTGTACAGATTCTAGGGGACATGAAGGAGTTAAGAGTGATTTGTCTAACGGGCAATCCAGTTTTGAAGCTGATCAAACTGTACCGAAAGACGATGATACTGAAATGCAAAAATCTGAGATATCTCGACGACAGACCGGTGTTTCCGAGAGACCGTGCCTGCGCCGAAGCTTGGTAAATTATGATTAATTAATAATAGAAATCTATCGCGAGAAATTTGTGTCTCAGTGAGAGTACATCGATATAAAGTTAGAAGGCTGAATTTTGCCGAAAGAGGTATGAAATATTTGAATTAACAAAATTGTTACGAAGACAGGATGCGCGGAGGGCCGTCCGAAGAGGATGCCGAAAGGAAACGGTGGATCGAGGCGGAGCAGAAGAAAATCAATGACAGCGTGCGAGGTGAGTAAAAATCGAAAGGCGAAGGTGAATCAATTTTGCGCTACTTTACCGCCATCGAATCGCATCGAAATCGGTTATCACCATTAAAAATCTTGAACGATTGATCGGTGAATGGTTACCGATACGGTTTCAACCGGCAAGAAATAACCCGTAGACTCGTTAATCGTTCGTCTCGATGCTTAGAAAATTGCTCAGCAATCTAATCTGTTATCCGTTCAATCGATCTCTATTTGCCTGGGGACATGCGCCCGCCCTCGAAAGCCCTGATAAACAAAAGGAAGCTGTACAAACCGGTCGGGACGTCCGAAAAGGAGGCGGAGGATAAGAAGAAGACGGCGGAGGATGAAGAAGAAGTAGCTGCCACGAGCAAGCTCGTGTGCACGAGCAACGAACTGGTAAGAACTAGTTTTGTCAAGGTCTGGTACAGAATTCGTGCTTCGAATAATATCACCCATCGGTCCCATCCACTATTTGATCATTCACCATGCGATACCCCCCTGCACGTTCACCGTCTTCTCGATTCCAACGTTCAAGCTCAAGCTGGAGAAGAAGAAAAAGTCAGCTGTCTCATCCCCTTGCGGCTCCTCCGCGTCCTCGTCCGACGAAGAGGTGGAGAACGACGGATTCGGGGAAAAAGTGATCGAGAAAAGCGACGGAAACAGGCCAATGGCGGAGGAAGAAAGAAACCCCACCGTCGAGGACACAGCTGATCTTTTGTTGCCCTGGAAAATCCAGGTACTATCGTTACTCTACTTTTTCAAGGTTCTAAACGATAATTTCAATATTTTCACTATAATCGATTACGCGATAATTGGAAAAATAGTGAAATTATATTGTCGAATTGAAAGGCACCTGTTATTTTAGACGTCGAGGAGCAAGAAGTCGGTGAAATTAGTGGAAGAGCTGACAGAAGCGAACGAGTACGTAGCAGGTGACGCGGAGAGGAAGAGGTTCGGCAAGGAAATTTTGGACGAGAGAAGAAGCATCGACAATCCGCCGAGAGAACTGGCCCATTACGAGAAACTTGTCCCGGAGACGAGCAATGAGACCGAACTTACTGCACGGTGTTGTAAGTTGCAACAGGGGGACCAGGAGGATAGTAAATTACCCGGCAATGCCGAATACGAAAGCGGACGTTTCTTTGCAAACTCGCTTCATTAAACTCTTTCGCTATGGAAGCCGCTTCCTTTCATCTCTTTTTTCAATTTCAGCTAAAGAAGAAAGAAAATCCTTCGAAAGTACCTCCATCTCCTGCGATATTACGTGCCCGATGAAAATTGAAAATCAAACTGTCTGCAAAGATATCATAGAGAATTATCGAAGGAAAGACGAGAGGTATCCTTTCGGTGGTCAATTAAGCAGCATCAGACAGGACATGAAGGGATTCTGTGCGGACATGGACAAGTTTGTCCAGGACAACAAGATCGTTTTCGAGAACGGCGATGTGAAAGGATTCTGGGGCGAGAAGGAGGTGAAAGAATCGCAGGGAGATGAAGAAACAGAATCATCGGTCAAGGAAGAAAACGTGAGATGGTGGAACACGAAGGAGAGGAAATTGAAGGTACAGAAGATCCTGGAGGAGCGAGAAGAGAAGGCGAAGAAAATTGAAATCGTCGAGGAAAATGATAAAAAAGAAGAAATAAAAGGAGTCTCGCCTTCTGATAGCGTTTACGATCTGCTGAATTTAAGAACGTGTTCGGAGATTCTTTTAAAAGACGTACAAACTTATCCCAAAAATGAAGAATCTGAATCCTCTGAATCAACAGAAAAATCGGAAGAATCTTCTTCGAGTGCTGTTTGCTTTTTATGTAACGAACTGAATAGTAAAAATCGAACGAATGGAAAATTGAAAATATCTAAAGCGGACAGTCATTGCGAATTGCCAGCCATCGAAGAATCCGAAGAAACGATCGAGGACACTGTTCAACGTAACAAATTAAAAAAGCTCCACGAAAAGGAACCTGTCGATGGTGTATTAATTAATTTAACCGACAGCGAGTCAGATAACGAATCAGTGGTAACTGTGATTGATCTTTACGACGAATCCGCGAAAGGAAGCGAATGTTTGCTTCCGAAATTGAAGGATTCTGCTGTAAACGTGAACGCTTTAAAAGAAGGCAAGTCTAAATGTTTCCTTCGAGTTTCCGAGGGTGTCAAGATGGAAAATGATAACACAGAGACTCATCGGTCGAAGGTTGAAGATTCGAGTAACGCGATAACTTCGAATCATTCTTTGAAACCGCACAAGAGAATTGGCGACTGCGACAACGCGGATGTCGCTGTCAAAAAGTCTCATCTAATCGAAGAAATTGATTCAGAAAGGGATTTAAATAACCGAAAAGTCGATCACGAGGTAGTGGAAAGATGTAGAAGGCACATGATGAAGGAAGCGAAGACGTTTATGAAGAAGAAATCGCCTTTGATCGATAAGTACGTAGAAAATTTTATAATCAATAAAAAGTCCCAAGGAAATGTTATTTCGAGGAACTACGAGCAAATGGATTTCTTGGATTTAACTTGTGCGAAAACGATTTTCCAAAAATCTTTCGACGATTCTGAAAAGTCTCAGAGGAAACTCAAAGAGTCATCCAACGTGAAAGAAGTGGAAGATAAATCGAAATTCTATAAGTCAAGTAAGAATTAGAAAGAAACACTTTTATTTCAACCTGAAAATGATTATAATTTTATTTTTTATATTTCAGACGTCGAATCGATCGCTGATCTTCTGAAGGATTCGGAAAATTTCGAAAAACATGAGATCAAGAGGAGCATGGATCTTTATAAAGATTTCTGTGAACACTTGGAGCAAAAGAACAGCGAGAGGACACTTCTGATCGAGCCGGATTTTATGAAAAGCGAGAAAATAGATGCCGAGGAAAAGAAATGCGAAGTTCTATCGTCAATGGAGACGGAACAGTCGAAGGAGGAACAAACAAAGCCATTGATCGAGGTGATTGCAAATGATCCACGAAACCTGGAAGACCTGGAACAGGCTGAAGACCGATCATCCGTTGACTCGGAAGCTTTCACGATGGATCCCGCGTTAAGAGATAAGATATTGAAGAGTATAAACGCCCCAAAAAGTGAGGAGCAGATCGAAAGAGGGAGAAGGTCGGCTGACAAATTGATGAAGATCTCCAGAGAAGCTATGGCTAAAGGGAAACCGATGCTAGATCAACCGTCCAGTAGCTGTATTCAACAATTAGTTAGCAATTTATAATAATAATATATAATAATAAATCCCGTTTATAATAATAATAATTTCAATACAATAATTATTTTTCATATTTTTATTGATATTCAATATTATTTTCAGGAACCTGACGAAAGCAGAATATTCTTTAAGCATCTATTAAACGACGATTCCTCGAAAAATCTGAAACAAAATGTTAATATAAAAGCAGAAGAATGTAACGAGTTATCCTCCAACGATGATACTAGTCAAAAGAAAAATGATAAAATAAAGAAAAGTCTGGAGTTACAGGTCGTGCAAGAAAACTGAAAGCATTCCCATAGAAAAAAGAAAAATATTAACATAGGTTCTATAAGTTAAGTTACGTCTCTGTATTCTCCTTTTCTTGTATTCAAATAAACGAGTTGAGCTCAAAATCAATTGAAATGAAAAGAAAGATCAACCGAAGAAGCGATAAAACGACGGATGTTAAAATACAGAGTCGACGATCTTCTACTACGTACACTTTATTTTTCATTTTCTTGTCCACACTCACATCAATTATATAATAATAATAATGATGATGGCGGTGATCCGGTGAACCGTAATTAATAGTAAGAATAATTAATCCGTAATTATGCGTAATGACAATCGGCTGCTTGCAAACGAAACAACAGTCTCCGACGTTCTTACGTTCTCGTCGTTCACGAGGACGAATCGGGACCCGAAAATCCATCCTTCGATAATCCCGTGTCCTCTTAAAAGCTTGGCAAAAAGCTCGTGATACTTTTATACGTTTATATAGGATGATATCGGAATGGAATTTTTTCTTTCTCCCCCTTTTTTTTTTCTTTTTTCTTCGCAACGTTCTCGTCAAACCTTGTTTCTTACACATTTAATCACTTTTACATTTCCATTCGTCAGAGTTCTTCTCTTGTTTTCTTTTTCTTCTTTCATTTCTATTCGACCATTTCCCTTTCCGTACGTTCAGCTCGTTTATTTCATATAATAATACACACCAGACGAATGTCGTTCTCGCGTGTGCTCTTAAAAACTATCTTATACTGCTCTCTCTCTTTCTCTCTGGCTCATCGCAGGAAGTAAAGAAACGTACAGATACATTATACTCCACTGTTTTTATAATTATTACAATAATAGATTTATAAATTGTTCTCACATCCCTCACCCATACACACTGATTTTCCCTCACGCGACATCAAGCAGAAAAAAAAAAGATCAAACATTCGCGCACTTGTTAATCATAAAATTGTTCATACACGATTTTCACACGCACACGCATTCGTTTGCTCCCTAATTGTAAGTTATCCTCTTGAACTATACCGACCATCATCGAGGAAGTGGTTGTCGATGATCAGAGTCGAGAAAGTGTTAAAAACATTGATTATGATTAAAAACGATCTGATTATTTTATCTTTCTATTTCTAGAATAGATTCAAAGGATTAGAAATAAAAAGAAAAAAAAAGAATTGGTAGAATTCTACGATCATCGATAAACACTTCCTTGGTCACATTTGTGTATACATACGTTTATCTCTTTGGGTTTAAATCTTCGCTTATTATATCGTATCGTTATAGCGTCGGTTGCTCTGTTGCTTCCGTCGCGGTTAATTAGTTTAATTGTTTAATGCATGACAGCCCTTACACGTTACGTTACAGAGAGAGAGTGTGTACCTTAACGACTAATGCTTGTAATATTAAAAAAGAGTTCCTTCGGGTTATCGAACTAAATGAAATGAAACGTCTCGAGAAGCTCGCCGCTACGCGAAATTCTTTCTTTCCTTTATCATTCTCGATTTCATTCTCGCGAACCGGGTAATTAATCGACAAGTTCGGATGAATAATATTAACACTCGGACGGCGGACCATGGAGAAAGCCACAATTTTAATGTAATTTTGTATTTCATAATATTGTTTTCATTTTTTTGAAAATTATTCTTCCGACAAATGAGACTTTTATTTAAAAATTATGTATTTAACTTTAGATTAATATTCTTGAATATAACAGGCTCCGCTGTTCAAGGGTTAATTGCACGCGTGAAAACCACAAAGTTTGCAAAAAAATTCACGTTCCTTGCCCGGTTAACAGATTAAAATTGAAAATAAAATGGACAGTTTTTTTTTTTTTATTTTTTTATCAGGAACGCGAAAATTCTATCGAATTTGCAATCATGTCTTTGGAGAAGAAATGAAGATTGGGAATCGATCGTTGGGTTGCACTGGCAAAAATTATTCGAACTCTGTTCGTTCGATCGCTTTTATCAGTCTTCTTTGATTCTAGTCCGAGAAAAATTAACGTCGATACCGTTGATTCTTCGCGTACTCTTGATCCCTGTTTTTTTTATTTTTTTAAATTTTTTTTTTATTTTTAGACGAGCGTGTTCGCGCGTATTTATTGTGCAAAATTGTGTGTGATTTTCCAAGTCACCTTTCTTCCGGTTCTTAATCGCAACTTTCTCCCGTTTCCTGGTGAACGTGTCTCGTCTTTGTACTACGATCCTTACTCATCTTTTTTTTTTTTTTAATTCTTTTTTCTTGTTTTTTCTTTTTTTTCTTTTCTCTTTAAGGAGGATTGTCATCGTGCGTTGGTGTTATCGCGTGCGAAACATTCAACGAAATGTTCCGAAAAGAACTATAGTTATCAAAACACGTAACGATAATATAAATGCTTCCCGAAAGATATGTCACGACATACTGTCGAATCACGCTCCAAATAGTAAATATACCTTTGCTAAAATATTAAATATATATTTGTAAATAAAAGGTAAAGATGCGTTTTCAAGGTGCAAACAGGTTATTAAAATAGAACGATTCATTGTTGCAGAAATATTTGAAAAAACACTTTGTACTATGATCCAAGGATGATCGAAAGATTGTTGAAGAAATTTTTCTCTAATTTTCGAAGGATTCGAATCGATGCTAAAAGCGACGCGGATAAATTAATCGAAATGCATTTCTACCTTTCTCCTTTGTTAAAAATCAATTAATGAAAATAACAGAGGAACATCGTGTGCGCTGTGTGTCGCAATGATTTCATTGAATGATCAGCATGATTGCAAATTCGATCGAGTATGATCGAGAAAAGTAAAGATTACTCAGTCGGCTAAAAATTTGAATCGTCCTACACTCTCGAAAGAACATTCTTACCATTGAATATTACCGATCATCGGAGAATCGATGAATATCGATAAAGCTCGTCGAACGATTTCCAAAGAAAGGAAAATTTCAAAGACACCGTTTGCTTTGCTCGAAGCAACGAATATCGCTAAAATCGTAGAAATCTGTGTTTTCACTAAAAATTCGCTTGCACAGTTAAAAAGAAACTGTATCGTTCGAAGAATCGAAGAACAATACGACCTACCTGTTCTTCCATTCTCGAAGACTATTTGTGTGACAATTTTTTTTTTCTTTTTTTTGAATTGCGAATTCGAAAATCGAAAGCAACAAATTCTCTCAGCTTAGAGTAGGACCGGATTAAGATTTCTGAGAGCCCGGGGCTAAGAAATCTCCGAGGGCCTCCTTGGTTGATAAACCAGTTAGAACAATTGAAATTTATTCTAAATAAAATTAAATAAAAAAACAACAACGGTAGAAAAGATTTCATTAAACATTTTTCGACTTATTAAATAGAAGGCTTATAGTAGGCCTCCCTGGAAAATGGGGCCCAGAAATGCAGCCCCGCATAGATCTCCTTAATCCGGCGCTGACTGGGAGAATGTTTCGAACGAAATCGTATAGTGCTTCGCAGATACGATGAATAATTATTATGAAAAACGTTATCTCGTAAACAGTGTTAAAATCTTAAGATAAACAATGTAAGACTATTCGCAACAGTATCATTAATAGAAATGGATCTTACTAATAGGACGCGTGTGTGATGCTCGCTTTTTTTGGCCCGTCGAGAATGGTACCAGGTCGCCTTCAAATTTAATATTTTTTTCACCCCTCCTCGAGAACAAGGCTCGCGACGAACAAGATCATAGAAAAGTCAATTATATTCGATATTAAATTTGACGACGATCCATTTTCGTTTAACCGTGTCGACGAGAAAAAACACGAATCTCTTAACATTTCATCGATGGACAATGAATCAGTAGACTGGAAACTTGTGAGAAAACTAAAACAATGGAATTTCAATTATTTATCAAATTTCACTGATCAATTTATGACTATTACATGTAAGAATGAAATAACATAATTTTTGCGTTGAGAAATTAACTCCATCGACAAGGTGTTAATTATTTCATCCCTCTGATAGCAGGTGAACATTTTCAGATTATTCTCTTCTGGCAAAGGTCGATAAATCATCTCTGAGTTAGAATAGATAACGATCGATCGTGTATCACTGAAAATCATTATTCTTGAGAATTTCGTGATCCATTGCTCGAACACACCTGTTCACTCGTTTATGTACATCATTTGTGATCGACAGAATGCAACATGTGTTTATATTTATGTGTGTGTATTCGGTGAATCAGAAACGTTTGCGTGGCAGGGTGGGAATAAAAAGAAAAGAGAAAAAAAAATACCAAGGAAATATAATGTGAAAGAGGAATTTCGAGTGTTCGATGACTTCAGTCTCGCGTAGAAATCGCGCCTATCAAATGCATTTTTTGGTCGATTCTACGCACGATTCTCCTTATTGAATGAGAAACGAGCTGTTTACAAAGGACACACACAGCTATTGCGACACCTAAAGTGTACACGAGAAACATTCATCAGGCGATATCTCTTGTTAACTGCAGAGTTCATTGAATAAACATACTACGTCGCACGTTCATCGTCTAGCTCGATTAATGGGATAATTAATGGAGAGGGATTACCGCGAATGCCTTTGGAACACGTTCGATCATTAACCCTCGAACAGGGTAGCCAGATCGATCATAATTTAAACTCATTCAAAGATAAACTTCGATCGTTCAGAAGTCAAATTTTTAAAAGAAACTTTCAACTGTTATAATTTTAATTAAAACTTTAAATTTTGACCCAGCTACACCATTCGGGGCTGAACACTAAAACACACGCCGGGTCATCGTAGACCCAGATTCGTCGTCCGAGGATTAAAGAAGACATCTTCTTCTTCGCTTCGAGATCTCCTACTTTCTTCTCTTCGCGGTGTCGGTGTTCTTTCTTCATTCAAATTCATAGGGAGCATCCTCTCCCATACGATGTCATATCGGTGATAATGAAGACTGATGGAGGCAACTAGGAGGCTCGTAACGCGTCACAGCAAGGACAAGGATTTTTGTGTCCAGGACAGATCTACACCTTTTTTTCTCGTTATCTCAAGAAGGATAGCAAGGATTATCTTCCCTTTGATTCGATGAAAAATTTCGGTGTTTCTTCTGCTTTCGGAGAAGGACAACGTTGAATATCTTCTCTTCGAGTCCATGAGAAATCTACACCTTTGGTTGTTATTTGGAAAAGGATAACACGGACTATCTTCCCTACGTTTTCTACAGGACAATAAAAACGCGGGAATCGCGGATTTTCGTGAAAGCAACGTTCACGAACGATGATACTCAAATGAGAGCTAATCTAGCCGTCGATATTTATTATTATTATTATTATTGTTGCTGTTATTATCATTATATATATCTGTATATATATATATATATAGTTTATCTTTTATATATAAAAAAGTGATGAAATCCTTGTAACTATCTATCATTTAACAACGAAGACGTGCTTCTTTTCTCGGTTGTCTTCGTACACATTTTATCGGAGCTTATTTCGTCGTTCGATTCTTCGGTGTTTCCTATATTTTTCTTCGCATCCTAGCAATTTCCATTTCGAGTGGTTCATTTGTATACAATACACGCACGGATATATTATGTAATATCGTACTTTTTATATTTGCTCGTAACGTAAAAGAGGCAGTATTCCTGATGGTTTTACTCGTGATCCATCGTTGAGAAGGATTTACCAAGAAACGAGTCGCGTCCGGCACTTTCCTCTATTCTCCTTCTTTCTTTTCCTCCGTTCCCTTCAATTTATTCGTTCTACACCGTGCACGCGTTGTTTCGCGTTGAAATAGGACCCAAAAAAAACAACAAAAAAACCTGACAACTCTCTCCCTTCTTCTGGGTGTCAACGAAATCACGAAATAAGCCGGTAAAAAAATAACCAAAACTGCACGTTTCGTTTTTTCCAAGTACTTTTATTCGCCTTATACTCGTACGATTTTTAGAAAATGAAAAGACCGATACGCCGTCGATGAACTGTTCAAAAATCAGTTCCTCTATGCAGAGGTGTGCGAGTACTCGTAATTTACAAGCCGAGCTGAATTAGATTCTCGAATTACTCGAAATCGACGAACTGTTTGAAAGAAAAAGCGAGCTACTCGAATATTCGAGCCGTCGTAAAACTTCGACTTACTTGAAGATAAATTTTCAGCTCGAATATTCGAGTAGTTCGATTTTTTCGAGTAGCTCGCTTTTGTTTCAAACAATTCGTCGATTTTGAGTAATTCGGCAAATTCGGCTCGACCGACCGATCATTGTTTGACTCGAAATTCGAGTACTCGCACACCTCCGCCTCTATGTACTCTTGTCCACGGACAAAAGAATCGTCGGAGAATAAAAGAGAGAGAAGAAAACGAACGGAAAAATAACAAATTCCTCCATGTTCCACAGAATTCTTTTTTTTTTTTCTTTATGATTTTCCCTTGCGCGTGCCGTTTACTATGACTAGAGACATAATAAATCCTTAATTTTGCATGCTATATTTCGTCGACAGTATGTATATGTATATGTGTATATATATATATATATATTTGTTTCATACAAAGAATAAGAAACCATATTGCTTCGGTGGCTCGAGGCTTCGAAATACAAAAGTGGAAAGCCTTCCCCAGGAGGCCACGGAATCGCGAAATACAAAAAGCACAGATCCTCTGTTTCCATGTTTTTAATTCATTTTTTTTTTTTTTTGCTTTTCATTTATTTAACTATTCTTCTTCCTTCAACGTCTCGCACGAAGACTAACCCTTTGCCTAAATAATATTATAACAATTGAAATGTAACAAATCTGCATTGTATTTGTACTACGGTTGATTTTTTTCAATTTAGATTCAATTTGTTCAGTTAAGGATTATAAAATCCAATGTATATTTCTCGATTGCCTCAACAATGCAGCGATTAATACAAAGCAAAGGGTTAAAGTGAAGATCGAAGGAAGAAGACTTCGTTTTTAAATTGGTGCGAAGAAGAGATCATTTTTTTTTTGCTTCCTTTTGCCTAATTGGTCGCTAGAAGATACGAAGGCAAGTGTGACATAAGCGAGTTTAATCGAACAGATTTCATATCGAAAAAGAAAAATGAAAATTAAAAGAAAATATCTTTCCTTTTCTCTTCAACTATGTAAAACAACAAGCTCTTTCAGAAGGGACTTCTGAAGATTGTACCATAAACAGTTTTTAATCAGATTACGTACTTGTTCTGTCATGAAAACAACTGTTGCTTCACGCGTTCCGGAAGCCACGCTTCTTTCTCGTCGATTCATTCAATTGCGTTAAAAAAACAGCTCAAAGAATATGGTTCAGATTTTCTTCAAGTCATCGAAACGGTCTGGTAACACCCTTTTCAATTACTCGAACGTTACACGCAACAACAACAACAACAGCAACAGTGTCACTGAAAAAACAAAGAAGAATTTAATAGAAAAAAAGAAATATTATACCAGCGTGGTTACCGGAAAGCGGTAGGACCGTGATCCTTCGGTACTGAACAAGTGGATTCAATTGTTATCTCCTTAGATACTTATATATTAAATATTAATAATTATAAATTACAATCATTAATAGTAATATTAAACATTATCATTAATATTATTACTTTAAATGCATACACAGTTTAAACACCTAGCTTTTGTTTCGACGAAAAGAAGAGCAGTGTAGGGAGAAGATGAAGGATCGCAGGATATGATGTTGAAGAATTAGACTGTTAACCCTTTTCGATGATCCACAGGACATCTAGTATCTCTGTCTGGAAATGGTTAAAGGGCAATTAAAAAAAGAAAACAAAAAAATACATGTAAGATGATGAGAAATGTACAGATCGTCTAAGAGAAAAAAAGGTTGAAAAAAGGATGAGGATGAAAGAGAAAGAGAGAGTTTGGTCTCGCGGTCCGTAGCTTCGATCCATGATTCTTTGGGTCCTATTTCAAAGGAACTTCTAGGACGATTTATCTCGTCGAGAACACGTGCATTCCTCGTACGTTCGAGGATTGTTCGGTGCTGGATCGATGTTAGAGAAAGATGCGGGACTCTGCTTTTCGGCGAGAGTTAGGAGGAACTCTTCTCGGTCTCGCTGTTCTTTGATTCTTGTTTTTATCTAAAGAGGAACAGGGAATAGAGGCTACAAACTAAACGATTACACGTTCACATTAAATAATTTCCTTCTTCCGTTTCGTACTTAAATGCTGGTCACAGAATTTGGGATATTTCTTCGTGTTGTTGCTTTTCTTCTTTCTTTCGTTAACTCGTCTTATCGTTCGTTTTTAGTTTCCTTTTATTTTAATCGATGTCCTTTCATACGCGACGATCCGAATTTCAATGAAAGGTATGCTTCCAAAGAAAGAATTTAAGAAAACAAAAAAAAAAAAAAAAGAAGAAAAAAATATCAATTTTTCTTCGCCTTCTTTTATAGGGTTTCTCGTTTTCATTGGCAAAATGTTCTTACGCGCCATCGAGACCTTTCGCACATTCTTGCATATCCGAACAAAACCCGTTCACTCTCTAACAATCTCCTGTTTAATTCGAACATTCACTCAACAATCTCAAGGAAAGAACCAAGAACGTAGAAAATGGCCTATATAGCAGTGATCTATACAAAATAAATAATGATAAATCTATATAAAAATTAAAGGTATCAGTGCAAACGCGGCGGTTATAGTCACAAAAGACGATACGATACTCACGCCAATTGTTTATGTTTCTTTTAACGTCCCTCTTCTAAACCACCCTCATTGGTAGAGGGGGGTTGCGTGAAATATACCCGACAAATTCGTCGAAATTGAAACGGGAAACAAACGATGGAAAATGAAAGAAAAACACGGTAAAAAGTGAGAAAACATGATATATCAGAAACGGTGAGTTTGTATTGCCCGGACTCGTGGATGAACCCGACTATGTACTTAATGGCCTTCCGTTTACGGTACACTTCGCGTTCCTGTGCAAATGTATGTATATGTAGTTTTCCCTATATAATCGTATTAATACACGTGCGTATGGTGTGCGTGTAGGTTTTCAATGCAATATGCGAGTTTATCGTAACCTTGCCTGTTCATTGACATATACACGATTCATATAATTATACGTACAATATATAATAGGTATTTTTTTTTCCCATGATCATGTTTGACTTTTTTTTTCTGCCCTGCACGAGCGACCGTTTTCGTTTCTTTCGCCCGGTATTTGGTTGTTTCGCACGAGCGAGTTGCTTCGTGCCATGCCGAAGAACAAGAAAACGAAGAAACAAAATAATAAGGGATAGATAGTAAAAAGAAATATATGTTAAATGAACCGCCGAAGCAGCCGATTTTCTCGGCGCTTCATCGGCAGTGAACGCTCGGAACCTTTTTGTTCAGGATACAACGCTTCCAACGACATCGCGAGTTTCAACGTGTCGTCCTCGTGTCGTCGATTATCGATCTTCGAATGATCGAAATATGCGTGTAATCAACAGCACGTGCTCGCCAAGTGATCCTTGAAAAAGGAAGGGGGGAGGGCCAGGATAAAAAGTGTGTGTCTGTTTGTGTGTATGTGTGTGTACGCGTGCACGAGGACCGGAGAGATTTTTGGCTTTGTCTCATATGCCTTGGTGCTTCTCTCCGTTTTGTCGTTCTTCCTTTTCTCACGCTTCCCTCTCGTGTGTCGAACAAACGATATATTAAACTCATGCTAGAAGCGCTGGTATTCACGAGTGATTTTATCGCCGACCCTGCCGCGACGCAAGGCTAAATCGACGCCGCGTCTTCGGTAGTCCTTTTTACCAGCACAACCCAAAACGTTCTTAAAGTCGCTGCTGCTACTGTTGCTGCTGTTACTTCCTTGGGTTATCATTTTCTTGTTCTTGTTGATAACGTTGCTGCTACTACCGATGTTGTTCCTGGTGTTCTCAGGTTGACCGAACTTTCTGATCAACGTCAACTTCGGCGAGGCTGAAGAGTAATTCGCCTCGTTCGAGGATACGGACACGCCGACTTCGGTGGCCAAATGGTGGTACTTGATGCTTATACTGTATGCTGATTGGCTGCATTTGGTTCTTTGGAGGAACGTCTTGGGGTCAGCCCCAAGTTAGTTCCAGATACGAAGGAACGAGTCCCAGGAACCCGTCGCTACCGCCATACCGTCCTCCGTAACGCCCAGGCAAGAAACGCGATTATCGTGGCCAGCAAGGATTCCTGAAAAACAAACAGGAAACTCCTCGAAAAAATATCCCATATTTCGCTCCCTCGTTTCTCCTTCGTGCGACATAAACGGTGCAGTAATTGTATACATGTTCCATAAATATTAACCAAAAGGTGTTAATACCAAAGGTGTAAGAACAAAAAACAAGAAAAAAGAACAAATGCACACAGGGAGAGAAGGCCTTCAAATAAAATTTCTCTTCTCTCCTGAAGAAGAATCTCACGGGGTCAAAAAACGTTCGCGTACCAGCTCGTTCCGCCTTCATGGAATCCCATACGTTGCAGTTGAAATCGTCGTAACCGGCCAACAATAATCTTCCGCTCTTGCTGAACGCTACGCTGGTAATACCGCAGATAATATTGTCGTGACTATACATCGCCAGCTCTTGGTCTGCCCTAATATCGAACAGTCTGCATGTTGCATCGTCCGAACCCGTCGCGAAAGCGTATCCATTCGGGAAGAACTATGCGTTGAACAGAACGGAAAACAGAAGAAAATTATTCGTGTAATACGAGCATCAAAGAAATTCAAGTATTTCTTCCTGAAGGAAAAAGAAGACATACGATATTCAATTGTATTCCACTCGCAATATACCTGTATCCTATTATCTAGTAAATATTTCAACAAAACAATCGTCCTCTTACCGTGACAGCGTTTATGTCGCTTTCATGACCAGGGAAGGTCTGCTTGCAAGATCCTTCACGAATGTCCCATAATTTTGCGCTCGCATCGCACGCACCGGATACGAATGTGCGCGTGTCCGGTGCCAAGGATAGGGACATTACGTCGCCCGTGTGACCAATGAAGGAAGTACACTGCTGGCCAGTCTCTATATCCCACAGGGCGCTGGTCAACAGGAAAAAGACACGATATATAGCGACGTTGTAATTCGCTTGCATTCATAAACGATACACGATTACCAAGTAAAAGGAGAGAACCGAAAGAACCAAGGACAAGGATGGCGGGGTAGGATCGTGGTCTTTATTATACATTCGCATCCAACATCCTGTTAAATGGAATAAAGTTACACAAAGGAGCATAGCGTGCGGACAATTAGAAACAATTTCTAATTCTGGATTAAATATAAAAATCAGACGTTGCTTACCAAGTCATGTCCCCAGAACTGGTGACAATTTGGTTGTCGTCATAGAATCGACAGCACGACAAGTAACCAGTATGACCTGGTAACTCTCTGCTAACCCTTACGTTTCCTTCTCTAGTTTTAAGACTATAGATGGAACAAATGTTATCCAACCCACCGCAGGCCACGTAACTACCTGATGGCGCGTACGCACAGGTCATTACCCATGAGGAGCGCAAAGGAATCGCGTGAACTTTATTGGTGGTGTAACTATCCCAAACGATCAGCTTTCCATCCTGCGACGCTGACACCAAGTTTCTGTTGATTAAATCATACAGATAGATTATAATTGTTTGCTTCCGATATCGTAGCTTCGTTAAAATCTTATCGGATGATCAAGTACCTTGAGTCACTGCCCCAATGCATCGCGTAAATCTTGGCCAAGTGACCGCGAAGCGTGCGTCTGGTCCGCATTTGTATCCGGCCGATCGGCTCCATGCCCGACGTGGCTTGGACCAACGTCGTGTCGCATGCTGCTTTCCTAGCATCCTGAAAAAATATATCGAGAAGAACACGCATCAGGACGTGAATCTTTCAAGACACGGAAACGTAACACTGGCTCGATGTGGACTAAATATTAGAGAAAAATCTGCTTATACGTCGTCCCTACTCATTCATAGCCATATTCCTAGATGGCTGCGTGAATTCTGAAGGGGTTAATGAATTTCGCGTGAAAATCTCGTTGAGGCTCGTGGAGCACGTGAACTCAGTCGACGGAAGGTCAAGTGTCGCGTTCGAATGAAACAGGTAAAACGAGGAGAATTCCATAAATTATAAAAATTCAAAAAGTCCTGTTTTACGGTACTTCTTACACTTTTCGCGCTTCGAAATCGATCATTCGATATGCGATAATTAAACACGTACGTTCTCCGTTGATGTAGAAAATTAAAAGGGTTGTTAAAACGAACAGATCTACACGTGTAACGAGGATAAATTATTGAAACACTTGAGGAGGGTATTTAAAAACGTTCATTCTATTTATCGCCAACAGCTACGTGTGTTACACACTGTGTACGCCTGACGATGCGTGTAATTTCACGCACACAGGAACAACAGAGAAAGAGAGAAACCGAGAGTGAGAAGAAACAGGATAGAAAGCAGAAGAGAGACAGAGAGAGGAATGGTGGCGTATTGATCAGAGAGAAGCGACGGTTATGCCGCACCCTACCACCACCACACATACACACACGTATACTACTACAACCTTTCATTTCCACCACCATACACGAGAGTAGAATCCACCGATTGCCATCGACGAGGATTTTCCACCGCCAAACAACTTCTAATTCCCGTCAACTTCTAACTACCCCTGATCGACGACAGATCGTACAACGATCTGACTGGTAACGAATTAAATTGCCAGAAAATCTTTGGATTTTACCAAGAATTTTTAAGAGCATTACTAAAAGGGGATGAAATACGAAAGCTACTTCGAAAATGGAACGTTAAGGATCAAGGGTTGCTTGGCCCAATTTTAAGAAGATTTGGGCAAGATAAAGCAGGGACAATCTCTTCGACACTATTGTTAGAGGTGTTCTCTTGTTCTATCGAATATTGATTTCCAAAGTTGGGAAAAGAATTGTTTGAAACGTATAAAATCATAAACAATACGGAAAGAATTTTTATATATTAATAAATTATTTTCTACTACTGTTCCATTTAAAAAACAAACCCCTTCTGTGAAGGTGTTAAAACATAGAATTTTAGTCGATCGATAGGATAATAAAATAATAAAAAGATAACAGAATGTATGATGAATGTATTACTGTAACAAACAATTGTCTACTACCACTCACGGTAGGATGAAACAGGGTAAGAAAAAAAAAAACAAAAAACAAAAAAGGAAATAAAAAAAAATTGCTGACTCGTTACAGGGAAAAAAGGGGTCGGTTGTTTAATGCCAAGAGGCACTTCGAGCCGAGAGACGCCCTAGACTTTTTTCTTTTCAGACAATGCACGCCGCTGTTGCATGTAGAACTGTTGCTTTGTCCTCCAAAGGTTCGGAGATTGTCGGTAAACAAAGAAAACGTAGGAAGACGAAATTCAACCGTGGACCATTCCCAGAGCGCTTGCTTAAATAACACCTAAAACTATAGAAAATGTTAAGTTAACGCGAAACAGGCCAACGACTGAATACCAACGACTGAATGCCATCGAAACACGTTATCTACGGTTTATAGATAATTCATGTGACAGGAAACTGACGTGATAGGAAATCCCGTAGGTTGGTAATATCCAACAAACTTTATCTAAGAAAACTTGTACATTATATATGTATTGCTACTTACGCTGTGACATTAACCCTAGAACGGTGGACCATGGAGAGAGCCCCAATTTTAATTATTTTCATTTTCTAAATAATATTAGATAGCAAAAGGAAGTCTTAAATTTAGAAATTTCCCATTTGTATGCTTGATAATTAGCCCTCAGACCGCGGACCATGGAGAGAGCCCGAATTTTAATTCAATTTTGCATCCCATATTATTATAATTTTCTAAATTTTATATTGTTCCCTTTAAAATTATTCAAATTAATTGATAAATTTGGGTCACGACTGACCCAGGCTCCACTATTCAAGAATTAATTAATATATTATCCACCGGTCTTAAATAAAATAGATACGAACTACCACCTTACAATTAACATTTAACTAAACATTAAAAATTGTAAATTTTCAATTTCCTCTTAAGTGGAGGGTCGACTTACTCGAATGGCATTTTTTAAAGCGTCTGCCTCCTGACGAAGGGTTTCTAGCTCGCTCATGATGCCTAGTTTAGTGATGTGCCTCGAGTGAGAATCCGCTGAAACGTTTGATAAAGATGTCTCGGAAAGGTTATATTATTTTCACCCTTTAATGGAACCTAGAACGTCGTGTCCGAGGAATTGGTTAACTTCTATCTAATTTGTCCTTTCGCTGAAAGGCAGTCGGAGCCCAGTGTCACGCCGACGACGCTTCTTCCGGTGGACAATAATGGAGCAGATCCTCGAGCTTTGCACCACCAGGAACGGGAGGATGAGATGAAAGAAGAACGAGAAGAGGATGACCGAACCTTCTTCTCCAGCGGGTACCACCAGTCTTTCCAAGTCTCTCCCTCTGATCTGTTGCTGTAACGGCTTCCGCTTCCGCCGCTACCACCGGAACCAGAGCCAGACCACCGCTGTCTCTCCCGCCCCACGCGCCAGCTTCGACACCTCCTAACGAGACCGTTGCCACCCCTGCGAACAAAATCGTACAAAATTACTTATTTTTAACTCTACTAACTTTTTAACCCTTCTGAAACGACAAATCTACTTATCATTGTGGTAAGAAATAACAATTCTGGGTTTAGAAACTCTTTGCCCCCCCCCCCAAAAAAGGGTTAATCTGCAAGGTCTAATGAAATTCTGACGAAAATACTTTTTTATTTACAAATGAAATGTTCGACATCGATATCAGGTCTAATAATTCATTTCTCTAGGTACCTATACCGAGAGAGTAGGTGTACGTGTACGATATATAGTGTAACGTCTATTACATTTTTATTATTCTATTTTTATCCAGGCCTGTCACATTCGTTGACATATTTGTGTCACGGACAACGTGTTTCTTCGTTTGCGCGTCAACTCAGGCGTCATTAATCTTCTATCCATAGATAAGACACGTAACAGTCTCGATTTCTATGAAAATTCACTTCCATTATTAATTCCCAATTCGTCTATTTTGTGTACGTGCAAAGTAACGTCACAGGGCTGCTATTTTTATCGCGACCGAAACAATGTTACCTAGGAATTTTGGAAAAATTTGATATTTAAAATGCCGTTAGAAGAACGAGAACCGATTTGTCGTTCTATTTCGTGAATTTCTAATCGGTCTACAACAGATAAGACGTTTCTTTCATTCAGCAGCTGTTTGTTCCAAGTAAAGTTAATTTTTCAAGCTGCATCGGAATTTCGGTGGCAACGAGCGTCCTTCACCTCCAAAAGGTCTCGCAACCCGGGGAATCCGAGGGCTGTCGATCCAACGGGGAAGGTGTTCTCATTTGCCGGAACCGAGTGTATCGTTCGGCGCATGAGCAAGCACTACGAATCACCGAGTGTAGTACTCAGGGTGTCGCGGATGAAAGAATCATGGGAAAAGAATGTAACAATATTCTCAGATAAAAATGACAAGGTACAAAAACCCAGCAGCTTAAAGTTCCACTTGCTAACCCTCTGAAAAATGACGAACCACTGACAAATCCTCCCTCTACGGAAAAACTTTCTCGGTCACAAGTCTTCACAGATTGAACTAAATTTTCACGTGAATTTGGAATTTCTTATGGTGGTCGAGGTATCGGTAAAAGCGAACCGGTTAACTGCTGCTTTATATCCACAATGAATAAACGACGGTATGAATAATTAACCTTTAAAATTAATTTCTCTACTCCAAAGCGAATTAAACGAATTAAAAATTTCATTCGAGCTCTGAATCATAGATCTCTGTTATCCGGGGGTTGATTCTCACCCTGCCGTACCCTTCGCGTTACACCACACCGGTACCGGCCGTAAACTGGCTCGTTTCGAAGGACGTCGAAAGCAGAACGAAAGAAGGATAATTCGATCCATCGCTTACCCGCTCCGTCCACCTTCCACTCTTGTCAAAGCGTCATGAATCCCGAGGAAACATAACCTCTGCACGAGGAAGGGTCCGTTGCAAGCGCAGAGGGTAGCGAGCTGCCTTCTCGAACCCGTCTTCCACCGCCAGATTGCGCGGTCGAAGTGAAAAGCCGGCACAGAACTAGACTTTTGCGGGTAGAAAAACCGAAAGGAATGCTGCACTTTTCATCCGGCGCTTATAGTCACTGGGGAACCGGTCAAATGTACGCGCTGGTGCGAGCTCTCTTTTTCATGCCGCGTTCAGGGAACCGTGGAACCGACGACGACGAATCGATGAACGCTCGTCGTGGCTCGCCCCACTTGGGTGCTCTTTTGCACCAACACCCTCTACGATCTCTTCTATCTCTCTCTGTCCAACGCTATTCTACTACTTCTTTGTCCGTTACTCTCCACGCTCGACGAACTTGTCACACATATATATACGAATACACGCGTGCGCTCGCGCGGCAACCGAATGATGTATCGGGTCAGGAAACACCTTCGAGTACACCTTGAGATTTAACAGAGGACAAGGTGATCAGGAATACGGAAGAGAGCGCGGAGAATGGACAGAACCTTGGATACGATTTCGAACCACACCCAGGGAGGACGTGGTTTCGAGAGAAGACCGGCTAGCTGGGGAAGAGAAGGGATGAAAGCGACGCTGGCGCCGCGGCGCCCGCGTACCGGCTGACTACCGGCGTCGTCACGACGCACAGTGGGGCAGAATCCCAAGAAACAGAGAGGGAAAAAAAAAAAATGCAACGTACCGTGTTTTTTCACTGAAAATCCTCAGCCTGATTAAACTACTTGGTAATTGGACAGAATAGAGTATGGTTACCGGAATGATACAATTAAGGGCAAAAGGCACGTTCTCTGTGATACATAGAAAACAAGCCAACCTTGCTCTCAGAATCTGTTGCAGCTACGGATTTCAATCTTTTAAAGCCTCTATTATGATACTAGATGAATTCTTTAGCGAAAGAGAATTTTGAAATATCGAAGGTTAAAGTGCGGATTACTCTCGGTAGTAAAAGCACACAAAATTTCAACTCGATCGGTCGAATGGTTACTGAGAAAAGGGGAGAGAAGCATTTTTCTAAAATCTTGCCTTTACCAAATCATTTTCATCCACTTATAGTACCCACCCGAAAAATTGTTTCAATTATAGATAAATAAATAAATAAAAATTTAATTTCTTGACCCCCCCAAAACATTGCCCTATAATATCAAATCACACTCGTGACGCACCTTACAGTTCAAACGAGTCTTTGTCTGGGTACTTTTGGTATGTTTAAATTTAATTATAATTATAATTTTCCCAGTGACGAATCGTGGAATTTTCTTCATTTGGTTTTAAACTGAAGCAACGAATTCAGAATTAGCTCTGACTGATGCAACTATCGAAAAAATGATAGAAGGGGTTAAAAAACGACATTTAACGATGTCTCGATACTCAGACTCGTGATTACAGCGACTATACACCTTACCGATTTCAATGATCTTAACATATGTTATAACTCTGTCCTGACATTGTGTTAGCTATTTTTTGCAGGATGAGGGGAGAAATAATTAGGAACGTCGACTGAGTTTATGTACATCTCTCTTGATAAACCTTTGGCCGTTGTTTGTACAGCAAGATATTGAATGTGCTGATAGTATAGGGGCCCGAATGGCACCCTTTCGTTCGCGTCGCAATATACCTGATCGAGCATTACAAAATCATAATAAGTCTGGTCTTTTGACAAATTTCAAACTACGCTACAATCTTTCTAAATAACGTTACATTACGAGTTATGTCGACCCCCCTTGCCACAATCACGCGTTGTCGAGCGATGTATCATCGCCTTAATAAAGCTCAATCGTAATCGTTCAAAGGATCCGTAGAACTCGCGATTAATGAAGTAGACCATCTTCGTTAGAAGCTACATAGAAAATCTGCCGGCTCGACCGTGTCCGACCTACATCCCATTTATCACTCTTATCAAGGTACAAGTCGGATACACGTTTCCCCGGGTGTGAACGCGTTATGTATTTGAAAATATGACTCTCGAGAAAATTCCATTTTACAACCGACCGACCTTCTGGCTTCGTCATTTCAGAGGCATCCGCCGATGGAAATGGACGCGAGATACTGTTAGGATAGATTTAACTGAAAGACATTTCTATCGTTCTGGATCCCCTAGGCCTTCCTACACGCGTTCCCGGATGCACGAATGAGAGCAACAGTTGAACCACGCGGGTCAACGTCCAATACAATCTCTCCCTCTCTTTAGCTCTTTTCCCATCTGCTGGCTGTATATAACCACGAGGCTGCCAAGTACCTCACACCAAGTGTGCACTCCGACCAAGTCCCTGGCACGACCCAACGGTCTTTCGAATAGCGAGAAAGAATGGGAGAAGCCGCGAAAGGTCTACCTAACATTCAACATGTCTACTGTTGCCGGACGCCTGTTGGCGTTGCACCTGCCAACAGCCCGTTCCAATGACCGGCCAGCTGTACATTTGTCTCTAGGCCGGTGTTTACTCTGCTCCTGGTGCCATTTTTCTTCTTTTTCCGAAACCGTTCTCGGACGTTGAACGTGGACCTACTTGTTGATAGTTTGCACCTTGCCGTGTGTACGTCACCGATAAAACCGAACGATTCGTACCGCGTTACTATTTTACGATACTTTTATGTTGGAAAATCGTAAATAATATATGAGTAAAAGTTTGATGTCGATATGAGATAAGCAAGCTAATAGATAAACGATCGTAGATTAATTGATAATTATACCAAAAAAAATTTGATTTTTAATTTACGTAATTTTTTTTTATTTTGTAGAAGGAACATTTATTGTTTCATAAAAGCAACATTTTTTATTTGTAGAAAATTTGTAGAATATTTTGTAGTGGTAGGTTATATTATCACCATGTGGGTGGTTGTAGAAATTTATAAATAAATATATAAATTAGCTTTATCGTTCATGAACAAGTAATAGGGGTTATGAGTACAATTTTCATCATTTTAAGCTTGAATAAATGAATTTTTTCTTTAAATTATTCTGATTCTTTTTATAAAACAAATATTTCTAAAAAAACCTTGTCATAAACTTCGGAATCAGTTAAACCGTTCATCCAATGGCCTCTTTACCCCGATGCAGAATTTATTAAACTACAAATTTCTTGACAATTTCGCCAAGTTCCAGTAGTTGCATTATCGATTCTTTGCGCTAGTTCTTTCTGCGAAGTCACCCCTGTACCGTACACCTTTTGTCCCACAATTCCCCGTACATAAAAATTTAGAGATACTAAATGTAATGTTCACAGGGATCTTTCTTTGCTTTTGTAACAATACGTTTACAGCCCACTTTTCCATCTACCCCAAGGGTTTTTTCCTTTTCTCAGGGAGAGCCTGGAATACCCTATATGTTTCCATTGTTCCCAAGATCGAGTTCGTTATACGATGAAAAGCGATGAAACGAATACTAACGACATTAATTATAAACAATTCTTAAATAAAGAGACTTCGTTAATCGCGTACAGGCCGTGTGTATAAAATGATATTGTGGTATTACAGCTGATGACAGCAATTCACATCGGCACGACCTAGTTTCGAAACG